TTTTTTTTGCTCCATCACCCAGCTTTAATAATACCATCATGGAAAAGCTGCATTTCTGTCAAATTCATTCTTTTGTAACTTTTATCACAGTTTAAAAATGTCCAAAGGGATTTTGATTTTATGATAAACTCTTAAACCCATCAGATCCAGCATTAAATATGGTAACTGGAAAAAATAATAATTAAACGACTGACTGATTGTCAGAGATGGAGCTGGTGAAGGAAGCTGTTGTCTGTCACCAAATGCTCGTCATGTGATCCAGTACCAGTCGGAGTCCAAGACCTTTTGGTGGCAGCACAAGGGCACAAAGTGCWCTGTTTTCCATCGGATTAAAACCACGACACACAAATCAATTCATCACTCCTTAAAGCAAAAATAAATGCTTCAGATGCAGCTCACAGTTTCAAGGGCTGACTGGAAGCATGCARAATTTCTCATTTTAGTGACATCTCCCAAGGTCTAATAACATACCGTAAACTTTCAAGGGATCAATCACTGAAAAAGCTGTCCAAGCAGTTTTTTTTCCCCAGAAATAAAAAAAATAATAATAAATAAATAAAAACATGGACTTTTATACTTTGCATTCTGTTTGTTACAATCCATTTATCTGAAAGCAGTTTTATTCTAATGCATTTCAATTTAATATTTTGTAAAAGTAGCTAGATGTAGCCTATACTTTGAAGGAATGCATATCATTCAACACTTTGAGAGTAGACAATAATAGGTGTTTAGTCATTACGGAGATCAAAGCTTGTAAATGACATTGTCCATGAGATCATGCAGTTCTGATAGATTTGTTGCATCAGGWGTATTGTTAATGGCTCTCAGCTACTACCACATTAAACTGCAACTCAATATCTATGAACATGAATAAGCTAGTCACTTTTCTGTCTGTGCAAAGAGAATCTGTATTATTGCCYATATTTCCCCCATCCACCAAACTGAGGAAAGTTCAAACTGTGCAACTATAATAACTAGTATACAGATCAGTCAGTGCGGGGTCAGACTGTAGGCCCAGATGGTGATCACTGTTAAAATACTTGCAGTGAGGTTTTTATGCCATCTAGAGGCACAATGGGACTTTGATTTCTCTGCAGGTGTCTCAAGCAAGAGTTTAAAATCTCACTACTGGATTAGGGAATRAATGACAATTTGTACACGTTTGTGTTCTCTGATGTTTGCAGCTTTAACTTTTTAAGGTTTTAGGTGTAATAAATTATTAACAGCTGGACACTCAACCCTCTCAAATAAAAACATCTCTTCACCATGGGGAAGGCACTGGATGTAGCCTTCCCCAAGATACAGTATGTAAATCCAGTGGAGTCGGGTCCAGTAGAACTTCAAGGGCTGCCGTAGGTGTTGTTCTATGGAACCCATTATGCTCAGGTAGGCCATATGTTGCACATGGGTGAGCATCACCCTTGCCCCAACTTGAACTCGAACCCACCACACTAAAGCAGCATAGCATGGCTGTGTAGATCCATCTGATAACCTTTGGGGTAGCCCCCCTAACGACTCTCCAGCACTGGTGCAGGCACATTGCTGCCTTCTTACACTTTTCATTTACAGTTAAGCTTCCTGTCTATACAGAGACCAAAGAATTTAACCAATTCTGACAAGAGGAGTTCTACTCCCTCCAACTTCGGTGCTACCCCTTCCTCGATTACCTCTTCTTGTTTGGATTGACAGAAAGTTCCTGCTCGCAGCACTACCTGGATACTGTTTAGTCCCCTCTGCATTAGGTTACATACAGTACCCAGGCCGAAGCCTTCTATAAGTATGACCAAGTCATCTGCGTATCCTTGAGTGTGAAGTGTAGATCTATTCAACTCACTTAAAAGTTGTCAACAACCAGGAGTCTGCTGGATCCTTTCTAAGAAGCTTGTGCAACTTAGAAGAGGCACTAGGCCGTTTTCACTCGTTCACTGTTAGTCTAACTTTGTAAAAACGTAAAAATTCACGTGACCCACCAGTTTCTGTCGTTGCTCACGGTTTTAATAACTTTTAGAATACAGTGTGTACTTACAATTCAGTCTGTTTCCATTCGTTAAGTGTGCAGACACAGGTGTGCAATTCCAGAGGCAGAGCCAGAGGGATGCTCCCTGTAATCTGATTGGCCATTCCAGTTGATTGACACGTCACTGAACAAGATGTCCTGCACTGAATCATCTGATTATATTATTTACGTTGTACCCCTCTACTGGTCAGAATTGGTAATTGCACCACAGCAGAGTTAATTCTGACTTTTGGTTAGCCATGCAAATGGCTTTATCTGCTCTTCTCCTTTGCTAGTCCAAAAGCAGCAACATCAACAATTTTTTTTTACTAACAGTTTAGTTAAATAATTAACCTTTTGATAGACAAGATGGGTCAGGTTTCTTTTTTATATCTTTGCAATCAATATATTTCATCAGACTATATTTCAGCTATTTTTTAAATATACAAAACAATTATTTTATTACAACCAATGCACAACACGGGTCAAAAATAACCTATATCCATGATCTTAATTTATAATTTCAGCGAACTTTTTATTCATGATACATTCAAAATGCATACTGGGATCACTACACAAAGTCAAGTGTGGTGTGGTTCTTTTGAAGAGTTTTGTTGAAGTCAGTTCATCGTTGTTTTGGCTGCTCCCTTCTGCAAAGTTCACMACAGCAAGCAAATACACATTAAAAAAATTAGACAATTCTTTTATGCCAGATGCAACCTTGACTCCAACCTGCAGAGACCGCAGCACTGACCACCGATCGTCCACAGCCCCAAAGTCATCGAGTGACAGCATCTACTCGTTCATACATGACAAGCCTGTTTTATTGTCCTCATGGATGAAAACATAAGTCGCATTTACAGAGTGGTTGTCACATGCAATACAAAAATATGAATTTTTACAACATAAAAAACATGAACTGGCCCATCCTTAAAAAACGTACAGCTTTATACAGTATTTTATACATGAAAAAATATAAATATATATTATATATGTACACATCTGTAAGAACAGTAGTACCTTTTCAAAAACATGATGTATTTTACATATAAAAAGGTTTTTACAAATAGAACTGTGTTAATTTGCTATAGATTAAATAACGTATGTACATTACACACATTAGATTTTTGCAACACATTTAGAGCACTCTTTCACAAAAAAAAATCTACGTACTCCAGCATCGTTGGCTCACCCAGGTTCACATGCACCCACAGGGAAATAAAAACAAACCAACCACATAAATAAAAACATAAATACAAGCCTGCAATCCAAAGCCAGAAATCACAAACAGCGCACAGGAGAGGAGGKACTTTTGGGGGAGAATGTTGGGACACATTTGCACCAGCAAGGATCTTTGTTTTTGTTTTTTTTCTGCACAGATTGGAATCACTTTAGTGAATTCACTTAGTTTYGATGCATGTTTTCTTTGCACATGCATCTTAGTTTGTGACCTGTTTTTAAATGCATCCAATAAAAAGTGATTCATCAGACTGTACTTCAATAAAAAATAAATAAAAAGAAACAAGCGAGCATATCGCACTGTTCTGCCTCCTGGAGAAGGAAACCATTGAAACACAACAAATCTCCTCATGCAAAACAAAATTCAAAAATAAAAGTTTATAGTTATTTTTTTTTTCGCTTGATGACAAAGTGCATATTGTGTTCAGACATAGGCTGGTGCACATGCCCTTATACAAGCCAGAAAAAATAAAAAAGCAAAGAGAGTGAAGGGAGGCGAGAGGCAGTTGGTTTGAGAGCGTCACTCAAGCAGCCTGTCCAACATGTGTCGAGCCCTCCGGGGGGAAATGCTGATAAATGAAGTGGTCCATTCAGTGATTGGGTCCATTTTATGTCCAGCAGCGTCTTTATGTGTGTGTGTGTGTTTCAGAAAGAAAAAAAAAAGGCGCCTTGTGGACAGGACCTCGGTGAGAACCACATCACATCACAGCAGCAGCAGCAGAAAGAGGAGKAGGGGGGGCAGCCCATCAGCAGGCACGGACCCACAGCACGCCAGTCAGCCTCAGCACAGACACCATAAGCCAGTTATCCACAAGCCTCCGAGTCCCAAACGTGACATTAGAGAAGCAAAACCAAGAAGGCAAAGAGAGATTTGAGACGCGGACAGACACACGGTTAGACGAGGAAGATCAGACTGCAGATTAGTTGGAAGCGGCGCCCGGTTCAGGCGGAGGCTGATCGATCCTGTAAAAAGTTAAGGTTTCAGGAGCATGCAAGGCAGACCCAGGCTTTTGTTTTGCATTGCTTATGTTTCAGAGTGACGGCTACAACCTGGATTAAAGAAGAAGGGAAAAAAATCAAAAAGGAGAGAGAAAAGGGGGCAAAGGAAAACACAAATGTTAGACGGTTAGTAAAAGTGGAACAGACTGAATAAGAGCACTTTAATTAGTTTAACATTCAGCACATAAAAAAAAAACAGGTGAAGAAGCAAGAGTTCATTTTATGACCAAAGAGATCTCCGAAGTAATTTGCGGCCCTTCCTGTCGAGGGCTTTCTGCTGTTAGCCTTGCACTTTTTCTCAAGACAGTTTTAATCTGCTCTGAGAAAATGGTCCTTTAAGCAGAGCTGGATCAATAGCGAAGCCTTTGAGTGCTGGCTGTTGTTGTTGAAGCAAAGAAAAAAAAATCAAAAAATGAAATCAGTAAAAGGGGAAATTCCRGATTGAAGTTATTTCTGCTGATGAACATTGCAGCAACAAAAAGAGCTGATTGATGCAGAAGTGATGATCTGTGATTCCCCTGTGGTCACACCACATGGGTTCAAGTRTCGAATTTACTTTAATCAGGCCCATTTTGGGGCCAGTAGTCATTTTCACAGACTATTTGCTGAAAAACAGAGAATGTGCGAGCGCAATGCGTAAATGAACAGAACACMTGGCTGCAAAAACATCCATCTTTACCGGACGTTTTTATTGTTAAAATTGTCACATGGAATTAAGCTTTTTTAAATGATCAAGCTGAGAAGGGGGTCTCTGCAGTCACTGAGTGGGAAGTGCTTGTTGTGTGGAAGGAGTTTGTCCAAGACGTGATTGATCAGATTGACTATTTTTTGGGTGGGGTTTGAAGAAGCCACAGCGATTTGATTGGCTGAAAGCTGGGCAGCCAGACTTCACCTATATTTTCAAATATAAATATCAATTTTATTCATAACTCCTGACAGGAACGGGTTAGCCGTTTGAAATTTGAACGATGTACATTTGGAGGGATGTGTAACAATTTGGCTTGGTCAAAATAACCCTAACTCACCTGGAAAAGGATTGCTTTTTTAAACATGAATTGTAATATTAAGTGGAGACAGGAAGGTGCTAGTCACACCAAATTTGAAGTCAATAAATGATGTTTACATGCTCACAATTATTTTTATTTGAGACACTGTTGCTGTCTAATGTAAATATAAAACTTTCTATGGGTAAAATTCATCTAAGTGAATATTCAATACAACAAAATACAGTTTCAAAGCAAATTAATTCAGATACAAAACTATAAATTTAGATTCAAAACATTAAATTCAGCTTCAATTTAGTGACATTCTTTTTTAAACCAATGCCTTTAATTTCAGTTTATGCAGCTACAGATTCAGTCAGTTCAAATTCAGTTTCTGATGACACAAGTTTCTTCCCATAGTTTGAACTTCTGACACAAATTGAAACAGACACAAGAGAAATCACCAGATTTTACTACCGAGGTGTACCACGATACCAACCTACTGCCAAAACTTAATCAGGACCCTTTTGGAATGTTTCTGTTGTATAAAGTGTAAACTTGGTGTTCAAGTGTTCGAACTGCAGCAACTGTTGACCTTAAACTAGTTTATTTCTTTTAACGTTGCTGCTGTTTAAAGTAGTTTAATAGATGATCTGAAATATTCAAATTTCAAGTTGTAGAAATTACCAATCATATTGTGTTGTTTTTGCACAGTGTTGTATGTCTTTGTTATTTTATTGTATTTTATTTTTACATTACTTTTAAGGCTGTCAGTTCAGATTTTTTGGTTATGGTTTGTTCCATTTCTCTGTGGGCTAATCTTAAAARTTATTTCGAGCGTTTGGGAATATAAAACGTATGAGATAGCTTTGGTTAAGCTCTAAAATGTGTTTTCTCTCACGGGTAATGTTTGAGGAATAAATTAAACATAATGTTAAAAGAAAAACAAACAAAATAAAGTTCATATTTAGTCTGAGAGCGGACAAGAGATAACTCTGTTCCAGCTCTTTCTGGTTTGGACTGTTTGGAGTCAGATGTGAAGCAGGATTCTGACTGCAGAGGACACCGTACCACAAACGATGAAGGGAAAGGAGGATCTTTGTAGTATTCACATGTCCAGTGTGTTGACCCCCCCTCGTCAGCAGTGGGATACCTACTCTGCAGACTTCCAGAAGTGTCCTGGGTGGGACAGCCTGCGGTTGAGTTTGGGCAGCCTCTCCAGCATGTCGGCCAGCTGGATGAAGGTGGGCCTCTCCCTCAGCTCGTAGGCCCAGCAGGCAGAGAGGATCTCCTGAGACGACACACCGCTCACTTTTAACAACTCTCTCATCTCATCTGGTGCAAACATCAGCTTTTCTAAAAACAACTGAGGAAACTGGACTCACCGTGACCTCCTTGCCCAAGTTGATCTCTGCCAAAACCTTCTTTATGCCCTCTCCGCTCCCAACCTGCCAGATGGTGGCTTCAACAGGCTGGTTGGTGATCGGCCAGTCCCTCGCTTGAAGCTCATACCAGATTGTCCTTTAAAAGGAGGGGAAACAGCAGAACGAACGGGCATCGGTCAGAACAGCTGGAGCGTCTGGGACATCGGCACGTTGCCGCGGCGTGGGCGGGACTTACCCGAAGGCGTACACGTCTGCTGCGGTGGAAAAAGGAAGGCGGTCATCGTTGTTACCGGGGCTCATCTTGCGCACAATCTCTGGCGCGAGGTAACAAATCCAGCCGTGTGGAAGTTTTAGCTTGTTCTCACGCCTGGAAAGTAAAAACAAAACATCCATCTCTAAACTCACAAACCAGCTATTATAAAAGGAAGGGAAATGAACTACTTCAAAATTCAAAATGCACTTCATAAATATGAGCAGGAAACTCAATGTTATGATGAGGACCGTCCCAGCTTTGTCATTACTATCTGAGCAGAGGGAACGCTGCAGGCCTCAGCAAGCGTTACAAACCACTGAAGCTCCCCCGGGTGACGCCGGCACAGCGTGAAACAACACTTTACAGCCGAGGTCCAGCTATTAAAGTGGCTTACCTTCCCTCCTGAACAACTCCAGAGATCCCAAACAGCCCGAAATCTGTGATCACGACTTTATTGGTGTCGTGGAAAACGTTCTTGGACTTCAGGTCTTTGTGAACGATGCCTTTGGCGTGCAGATAGCCCATTCCCTGTGTCAGAAGGTAGAAAACAAAACACCACTGTTCAGAAAAGATTTTTGCACAGTTTGCCGTTACACTAAGAACGTAACCTCAGCAAAAATTGGGGCTTCACTGTTCTTGAATCTAAAAATAGGTGTTAACTGTACACAAAAACAACGATTTGATTTTTACCTGTCAGTTCTGAAATGCTGCTGTGGCACTTTCTCAGTCCAACAAAAAGAGGTTTTTCCAGAATCAACTGCTTGTGTGTTTACAAATACTGTAAGAACATGCTGCACCTAATTTTTGTAWCCGTTATGTCGATCCGTCATGTTTGAAAATGAAAACATAAACCCTGAATGAGTCATGGAAGACAGGAGCTTGTAACTGATCTTATTAGTACACTGCAAAAACTATCCATCTAACAAAGTTTTAAAACTTTATATCCAGCCAAAATGTATTTTTGATCTTGTTTTGAGACTGAATTACTAAACAAGAACTGTGTAAGAATAATWATCTTGTTTTCAGAATGTGTAAGATTATTTGTCTTGTTAGCTTGAAAATTAAACTAATTAAGTCTAAATTTTCTGCCAGTGGAGTAAGAAATTTTTACTAGGTAAGATTCTTAAAATAAGAAAAAAATCAAGTCAAATCAAGTATTTCAAAAATACGTGTACTCTTACACTGAGCAAGTTCTGCAATTATAATGAATGACTGTGTTCATGAATGAATTTGTGTGCTAAAAGTGTGATGAACTGTGTGGAGATTCTCAGGGCTTTATTTTGAAGAATTCCTCTGAATATCTCTACAAAGCCTTGTGTTATTACTTCTGTCTCCTCGCAGAAAGAACTGGAACAGCCGAGTATTTGGCAGAAAAAAAGGAGGGCTAAGTGTTTGTAGTTGGGGTGAACCCTGATTGGCTGTTAGCTCTATTTTATCCCTAGAAAATGAACTCTTGACCTTTGGATTCTCAAAAAAATAAGACACATTATCCATGCAGAACTTTGTAGAAATAAAAACAGAAAAGAATACCTTTACAATCTCCTGAGCGATTTGTCTTGTTTTATTAATATCCAGATTATTCTTACTGTCCCGAACAACAGAATACAACGTCCTCCCTTTACAGAAACTGAAAAAGAAGAAAAAAGAGTTACATAAAGCAAATCTTTCCTATCTGGGTTAGGGTGAGCAATTATTTCCACTTTTTTTTCATTGACTTATTCATTTCATTTAAAAATAAACATTTTATACACAACAAAGAGGAAAAAAATCACACTTGGAATGAAAGGAGGCAGAAAGAAGAAAAAAAATCTTATATCTAACGCTTTTTTCCAAAATTAATTTCAAACAATAATAATCAAGAAACAAAACAAAATAAAAACTTCAATTCCTTTTCAAACAACAACTTTAGATATATATTATACAATTTCATATTTCTTTAACAAACCTATTTTTATCATTCTCTTAAACAAACACAGTGAACCAACATTTTTATAATTGCTTTCCAGATTATTCCACAATCTCATTCCTTGAATTGAAGTACATCGGTCCTTCAAGTTTGTTCAAATTTTAAGTTTTGTAAACATCTCAAGTCCCTTAAGATTATTTAAACTTTCTCTTTTAACAAAATACAACTGGATGTTTAAAGGTAAATTTTTATGAGCCTTATACATAATCTGCAAGATATTATAATCAAACAACTCGTAAAATTGTAATAATTTCAATTTAGAAAATAAACTTTACCTGGTAATGATGGCTAAGTGAGGTGGAGCCATGCAGGCCCCCATAAAGAGGACCACATTCTCATGCCTGGTCTGCCTGTAGTTCATCACCTCCTTTTTAAAGAGCTTCAGGTGGTCTTGATTGTTACCGTCAATCTCRAGAAGTCGAATGGCGACCTCGCCGTGCCACCGGCCCTTGTGCACTCTGCCCCACCGGCCCTGCGTTTTAAAACAGCGTTAAGTGACAGAACGTGTCTTTAGAGGCTTTTGGAGCTGATCGTGTGAAGGTCCGACTCCCKCACCTTTCCTATGAGTTCTCCGAGATCCAGCTGCTCGAAAGGAATGTCCCACTCCTGCAGGTAGACGCTGGTCTGACTGGGTTTGCGGGAGATGGGGCCCTTCCACTGGTTCCCGCGGGAGCAGGGGAGATCRTCCAGCTCGTCGCACTCGCCGTCGGAGCCCACGTTCGCCCTCGCCCGCTCCCCGTCCTCCCCGCCGTCGTCGTCATTTCCCTCGTCGTCGTCCTCGTTCYCCTCCTCCGCTTCGGGATCGTCGCCGTCCTCCTCGGCTTCCTGCAAGTCAGACAGTAGCCGTGTCGCGTGCTCTTGATTCGCCCCCGAGTGTGCRTTCTAAACAAAATCATCACCTCTTCATCTTCGTCTTCCACCAGCTCAGCGTGAACGTCATCTGTAGACGGTTCTATCTCGTTGCTGTCAGGCAGAAAAAATCTCATCAGAAAATCCACAATCGAGCAAAGTTAATATTTTCAGCTGTTTGATTAACACTTAAATTATGCTGAATAAATGTCTTACACTGTGTCTTGAAGGACATCAGAGTACAAACTTGAAGGACTGGAAACATCTAAAGAGAGAGAAAGAAAAAAACTTAATTTAGGCAGGAATAAAAGGGTTTTGTTCCACCCCGGTTAAAACATGAATCCTCATGCAGTTTCACACTACGTCCAGCAGATGGAGCCATAATGCTGCTAAGAGTCAGAATGACGTAAACGGTGAAGGTGTGGCGGACACATGGAGGAGGCGTTTATACACTGACTTCTACAACACGTGCAGAACGGAGAGAAAGCTGCAGGAATTTAAGGCTTACGAGGAAGAAAAATTCATTTTGACTCTTTGGAACAGTCAACTCACCGGGGAAGATAAACTGCTGTCTGTGCTGAAAGTAACACGCAGCTTTTGCAAAAAAATAAAAATAAAATAAAATAAAAATAAAGAAATAAAGAGGGGAAAGACAGATCAGCACGACAGGGAGAGAGAGCTTTGGTTAGTGAAAGCTTTTGATTTAAAACAAATGCTGTAAAAGCACAAATCAGAGTTCGATATTTTCTGTAGAAAGAGAAGGGATAGGAAATGTGTGAGAATAAGAAAACTAGTGTCTGCCTAAGTCAGCACTTTTTTTTTTTGTTTTGTTAAACTGATCTCCGGTTGTGGATCTCCTCTCCAGCCTTTGATGAACTCACCAGGGAAGTTGAAGCGGATGTCCCTGTGGCCTTTGGGCGAGGGGTTGGGCGGCGGCGTGGCACTGGGAGGGTTGCTCTGCTGGAAGGGTGCTGGGGAGGAAGGTGTGGATGAAGTCGTGGAGGATGGGTTGCTGCTGGAGTCCAGCTGGTTCATCACAGGAGGATGATCCTGACGAGATGTGGAGTTATGACAATTAATAACCCCACATATACAATATACAATACAGAGCAGCTGGCTGTGGACTCTCTTTACCTTTTTTGTGATGGCCTTTGGTAGTGTACCAAAATGTGGGGTGTCTTGTGGCCGGTCAACAGGGTTGTTAATATCAGAAGGAACTGACTCAGTCCTTCTAATCTTGGCAACTACAGGAGACATTGTTAATAACACACATGCAGATTGTACTCATTAACTACAAACTGAGTGTGGGAGGAGAAAAAAAACAACTTACTAGGTAGAAAAGAGATTCTGCATGATGGAGCCTCCTTTGTGCATTTGTTGTGGCACTTTAATCTGCAGAGAGGAAGGCCACACATGAGAAGCTAAGTAGCAATTAGCTTTTAGCACCTACTACACTTCTCACGTCCAGATCAAGATTAAGTCAAGCCGTTAGTGGACTTTCCTATGAAGCAGGATTAGAGGCTTGCAGGAGTAACTTTAGGTTCAACTGGAGGTTTTCAGTCGTGACGCTGATTCACTTTCACCAAATGCAACTTGTGCTTTAAAGAATGTCAAATTAATTTAGATTTTCTTTTTTTTTAAGTGCGGCTGGATTAGAAGTAGTGGTACGAACTGCTTTTTAGTTGTACATTAAGAAGAGCCCGTGCTGCAACTGACAGAAAATCACCGAAACGTTCATGTTTCAAGAAAACACAAGGAAGCAGCACATTTATTTACCAAAATACTGAACACGTGYATGCCATAAATGTATTTATTTTATTACAAAGACCTAAACTGGTGGGCAATTTATTGACTTGGATCTCATCTAAATGGTAACAAATGTGGTTTTAAATGTACACAAGTTTTAGTATAAATGTTTCARATGTGAAAGTACTCTGAAAATCATCAAGTTCAAAATGACCTCAAATTTTAAAAAAAAAAGAGCTTTTGGCTGATCTGTTGTTTTTGTAAGATTTTAGCATTAGGCTGATTATTTTTATTTTTTGTTCAGTGATCATTTTTGAAATCAAGATCATAATTAAAACGCTGAAACGGAAAGCACCCAGCTTACCGGCAGTGTTTGCACTTCACCCCGAACATCATGTTCTTCTGGCACACTTGACACGTCTGAGACAACCAGGACTTGGTAGAAAACCTACAAAACACCCACCAGAACACGCCTTAGTCCTTCACTTTGAACACTGCAAATATTGAGACTTTTAAATAAACATTTCAATGGAAAGCTCATTCAGTTCGCTTCGATACGACAGAGTTTAAGAAAAAAGAGGTCTACCTGTGTGTGACTGCTAAGCCTATGTCCCTCCTCACTGCTTGTGGGGAGCTACGATGGACTGCTACATTATCTGCCCACGTAAACAAACAAAAAGATGGAAAGAACAAAAGTTAAAAGAAGTAGAGAAAGATGTTGTTAAAATAATAAGAAATAAGATTTATTTTTGATCATTTTATGTAAAAAAAGACTCACTCTTGACTACACTGTGCTCCTCTATTAGTGTGGGCGTCCCCGGCAGGGTGTATGGTGCTGTGGTGGGAGTAACTCCGGGGGTCCGTGCGGACAGAACGGGGTAACGGGAAGGCGAGTCTTCGCAGCCGTTCCCGTTCACTTGCATATTCAGGAATAACTTAGTCTTTTTACCGCACCTGGAGAGCACACAACCACAGGGGTTCAAGCGGGGAACACGGGCGGACGCGTGTTCCGACGCTTCAGCCGGTCCGCAGCACCGCCTGGGAGGAGGTTACGTAAGGAGCTGCGCATCAGATCACCTTAATAGAATTGGCACAGAGCAGCATCTTTAACACCCAGACTAAGGCCGCAAGACAAGCGCGGAGCACTGTCAAACGTGTGACCCGTGCTCACGTGCACGCCCACGCGAGAGGAAAAGTAAAAGGAAAATAGTTAACCTAACATATCCAAACCCATAAAATCTGTTTGCAGCTTCTTTTAACCAAAAAAATGAAAACAACTGGACTTCTATTCTCTAGTTAAAGACATTCTGCTTAAATTAGTTTTTTTTTAATAAACGGACAGGATATTGAGGATAAACATTTGCTTTGTTTATATGGCCCCAACGACAATAGTGATGGAGGGGGGGGGTAGATGAGAGATTTGAGTGTGTTTCGTCACTTCTGAGCATTAAAGCTAGGAAATGCTTCCTGTTTTGACATGACTCATAATCTCTGGGAATTTGTGCAGGATTAGCTCCACTCATACAGTACGAGCAAAAGAAGCAACAGGAAGTTAAAGCAGCAAATGTGAACGTGTCCGAGGATAAGCCCCTGCCCGCTGGCCGTTACAGGCAGCGGTTTACTGACATTTTGCTTTCCAACTCCTCTGCGACAAACGCATGTCTAGAGTTTTCATGTAGAAACTCAAATCTAAACAAATTCTTGGACATCACTAGAATTAGGATTTTTTATTTTTTTGCAGTTTGCTCAAATTTCAGAATCAGAATCTCTTTATTTTGCCAAGTTTTTCACATAAGGAATGCAATTCAAGGAAAGGTAAGACTCCAACAGAACAGAAACTGAACATATATACACAAACTGCAAACAACAAAGTATGAAAGATTTCAGCAGATTTTACACTTTGTTGTTTTGTCAGACTTTTTTACTAATGACAAGAGTTTTTTGTCTGCTTTGTTTGTATTTCTCATCCCAACATGTAAAACGCAACACAAATAAGTCGAATTTAAATTTTGGAAAGTTACGATTATAAACTTTTTTTGACCCTTATTTGACCCTTATTTATCACTGATGCTTTATCTCCGAGAAGCTCTGCTTTCCCTCTGTTATAAACTACTTCTTGTCAAGTCTTGTCTTTTTATTTGACACATTTCATCATCAGTCTTCTCCTCGACCATCACTAAAACTGGTTCAGGGTGCAGCGATTGATGAGGGCTAGAACCATGAACAGATTGCTCGAGGTCAACTTGAAGCTCGAGACGTCTTCTTCTACAGGCAGCACAGACCCTCACAGACTTTTGTCGAGGTCCATATTCTAGGGATTATTAACTTCTTTACTAACCAGTCGAAGCTATGTGAACAATATAACAGCATTTGTGTCTGTATTCAGATATCCAACAGAGGCAATTCCTCACAATCCCAGTCCTTTCATTTGATCGTGTGAACATGGATAGAGGTGAGCTCTGTGACAATGTGTGGATTTAGAGCCGGTCCACCTACTTGTTAGTGGGCGGATCCTCGATGCGATTACCCAGCTGGGACTCGTGGCTTTTGCTGCGTGTCAGAGAGATGTTGGGAAACAGATGCAGCACCTTGCGGGACGGAGGCGGCGGCGTACACGGCGGCTTCGGCCGGTGCCGCCTTTTGGAGGGCGGCGTGACGGGCGGCGTGGAGATGCGTCCCTGCATGCGAGCGGCGCGATACAAAGGCACGGGGAAGGGATCCGCGAGCGAGCCTCCGCCGTGGACGTAGGACGCCAGCGCTTCCGGCGTGGGCGCCGTCGAGACGGAGCCGGAGCGGGGATGGGGGAAGGTAGCGCTCGGGGTAGACGGGGTGGAGTGGATGGCTGATGGGCGGGCTAGAGGCGACGGGCTGTGGGAGCGAAGGGGAGTTCCAAAGTTGGTTAGCTGATCTGCAGTCAGTAGAGAGCCACTGTCCCTCCTGGTGGGCTCAGAGATCCAGGAGACTCCGTCATCTCTTAGTTCCCCTCCTGAAATAGAACAAAAAAACCTGATAGAAACCCCAAAGACAGAACACTGCTGTATTCATGGAGGTTCAAACTGATTTGACACTAACCTGATTCAGTGGCACTCTTCAGACAGGAGAGGGCAGCGCTGAGTTTAGCACATTCTTCTGAAGTAGATCCAAGTCTTCGCATTGTATCTCTGACCTGAGCACTGGTCATCAGCAGTAAGGAGTCCAGAGACAACTTTGCTTCTAATGTCTGCAGGAGACAATATAAAAGATCAACAACTAAGCTCACACCACAGAAGTAAGTAAGTAACATTTTATTTATAAAGAACTTTTCTTAGAAAAGACTTCACAAAGTGCTGTACAATACAAAAATACACAATACATCAATGCAACAAAAAATATCATGGAGCCGTCAAGTATTTCCAACCCAAAAAGGTGTATCAGCAACAGCATTGAACCAAATGGGAAAAAAAAGACAACAGTTAAAATAAAATACAAACCCATTTACGTTTACAGGGAAATGTAAATCGAACTTGGACCAAGTCAAGAGAAAACTCAGCTACCACAACAGGCACTGGGTTCAACAACTTTAACCAAAACATCYAGCTAAAAGCTGGTTTACAATAGAAGGTTTTTAAGTCCCTTTTTGAATAATTGGACATCATTGATGGAACGTAAATCAAAGGGAAGGGCATTCCAGAGGCTAGGGGCTGCAAACAAAAAAGCCCAGTCGCCAAGAGTCCTATAGCATGTTCGAAGAACGGCTAATAGATTTTGATCCTGAGAGCGCAAGCAGCGGACTGGATCGTATGTGGACAGCATGTCCCAAACATAGGCAGGTGCCTGGCCTCTTAAGGCTCTAAATGTAAGAACCAGGATTTTAAACTGAATCCTAAAATAAACAGGTAGCCAGTGAACARAGCCGGCTCTTGGCATAGGCAAACTAGGCAGTCGCCTGGAGCGCCATCTGCTGGAGGGGGCTTGAGGACGTGAAAGCRCCCACTGCGAAGCAGGAGGAAAGGAGAGCAGAAAAAGTTCAAAACTTATTTCCAGYGGCASAAYAGGTTGGAAGACGGCTGYTTGGTGTTATTTRTTGKTTTTTAAATCATCCTACAGGCTCTGACACRTTAGATAAATTTGAAAATGAGGTTTTGAAAAAATCCGTAAGACTTGAAAAAATGTGTGAGAYTGCCCTATACGCCCGTATACCTGCAAAATGACGTAAAATCCTTGTAACTTACGGACAATCCGTACAAGTTGACATGTACAGTATGTTGTTATTTATTTGCTTTCTGGGAAAGCAAATAAATCTAAGTTTACCACATTACCTTACACTGTCAAACTTGTTTTTAGGGGTGGGACATAGTTTAGGAGGAGCTCGCCTAGGGCACCAAAATGGCTAGAGCCAGCACTGCCAATGAAGTTCTGATAGGGTTGGAGTAATGTGACTAGATTTAGAAGTTTGAGTTAAAAGTCTAGCTGCAAAATTCTGAACAAGTTGAAGATGATGTAACAACAGAAACAAAGAAAACTTTACAATGGCTGTGTCCGAATCCAGGGGCTTTGTCGCTCACAGGACCTGGACTCCCTGGTTAATGTGGGCCGGGTCCTTTGTTAAACACAAAAATCCCAAACATTATAAATCCAAACAGAGTGTGGTGACTCTATGACTCTATGGGTTTAAACTAAGTTTTTAAGTTTCGAAAATTGTTTTTTTGGGKTTAGAATGAAGCCTTGGTGGAGTTGAGTTAGTACAACCTGTCAAAGGAGAGTTACCGTGAAGTGTTGACAAACAACTATCTAAAGCACTTTCCGGGAATTACACTGACAAAACTAAAATAACTCCAATTTTAATAGTTCACAGAAACCACTGAGGATGACGGACATTATGAGCTGCTCCTGCCGGTCATGGAATCACTCCCCGTTAGCCGAAGCGTGGGAGCAGAGAGGCTGGATTCCATAAATAAGACGACTCCAATCATTGTAGTGTTTTTGGAACATCCATTACATAACGCAGCCCTCACAGTTTAGAAACAAATCTCAGCTTATTATTTTGTGTGAAGGTCTTCGTGGGTCATCAGTGTTCCATGAACACATACAAACGWGTATCTATTCTTCTAATGCAAACAATCTTCTTTTCTTTCCTACATCTTTAAAGGGAATTCTGGCTTGAACAACAAGCAAAGGGCAAAACTTGATTAAGACATATGAAAAGAAACTGCAAAGAGGAGGACAAATAATCAGATATAAAGCAGTTCCATGAAACACAGAGGAAAATAAATCACATGCTTGATGTAAAATTATAAAAAAACAAGTGCAGAATTTCTAAAAATAAACATGCTATAGTAGGGCTGGGCAGTTTTCTTTTTTTTTTTCAGTTAAGCCATCCTAAAATTATACTGCGGTATGCAGTATTACAGATTACATAAAAAAAGACTTGTGATTTTGTCTTATTGCTGTATGTAATTTAGGGCATTTGAAGGTTTTCTAATACATTTTTAATTTAATTTAAGTCTATGTATAATGCAACATAGTGATTGAATCAACAAAAATTTAACAGCTTTATATATATATATATATATATATATATAAAGATTATTTATGCTGTGAGTCGTGCTGTCATGACAAATATCCAATTCACTTTCTGGAATACTCCTAAACGGTATAGGCATCACTGCAGAGAAAATACAGCTCAATGGCAGAAATCTAAAGCTCATGTTTAGCATTTATCAAGAACAGCAGGCACGATTATGGGTTATACTCCTCTTAACCTCCAGGAGCTTTTTGACCAGGCAGTCATATCCCAGTTAAATAACATTTTTATTGACAGCTCTCGTGTGATACACAGAATACACACTGTTGAACTCAGGGAGGAGGTACAGGGTTCAGCTACGTAAACATAACAGATAGAAAACATTCATCTATCTGTTTACCTATTAAAACTATCAATCAACAAATTAAATTTTAGTATTCACTTATATATGTATAGCTAGTTTTGCAAAGCCTTTCACAAAAGTTAGCATTTTTGAACACTGGTTTTTAATTATTAACATACTTTTATTGTTACAGTTCTCTTTGTCTTATTGTTCTGTGGTTTTATTGTCTTGAACGTTTTTATTGTCTGTGCAGCAGTGCCCTTTTAAACTGAGCAAAATTTCCCCCATGGGATACAAAAAAGGAACCTTGACCCTCGAACCTATTTAACACAAATAACATGTCTAACTTCCAAGTATTACGCAATTTCCTATTAAATCAAATACAGAAAAAAAGATCCTAAGAACCTTGCCAAACATTTGGAACAATTTCAAAAGGGGATAGCAAGAAATTTTGTTTCATTCCACAAAATATCAGGCTGCTGAACTCAAGTCAATGAAAGGGTTTGCAGTCACAAAGACAGCCCCTTATACACTTTAATAATATTACCGTATTTTCTAAACTATAAGTCAACCTTTATAGTTTTGCTCATCATGTGCAACTTGTATGTTTTTTTTTTCCTGACAACTACCGTATATGTTGTTCCTGTCCTTTAAAAAACTAAACTATGCTGTTCAAAATCAAGCAGGAAGAAGGAAGTTTGGAGTGAATGARAAACTTATGAGSAACTGGTGAAAAGATGAGGTCACTCTTACTGTAACGAATAAAATAAAGAAACCTAATCATGTGATGTGAAATCAGATTGGTTAACTTAACTTGCTTGGTTCGCTGTCTGGTTATGTTAAAGCTAWTTGGCATCCCAGGTATGTTCTGTGTGTTGGTGTGTTACTTTAGATTAAATGTCTGTTCTTTGACTTTGTGAAATAAATTCCTAAATAAATGCGACTTATAATCCAGTGCAACTTATAATTCTTCCTTTCCTCTTCATGGCGCATTTTTTGACTAATGCAACTTATACTCCGGAGCGACTTATAGTCTTGAAAATACATTACATACATTATATATACAGACACACTATATTTATTAGAGTATTTATGTCAACATAGATCTTCTAACATATCTAAGGATCGCAACTCCAACCAAAAAAATTWGGCATTTCAGTTTTTACAAATGTTTCTCTCACAGATTTTTTATTTTTTCTCATTTAAAATCCAGTTGTTTTTGTCATAAAATATTTGTGTCTTGAGAGAACAGTAAGCATCCTCTTTTATGCCAATGGTGCATCTTTCAATGCCACATGCCACTTGGCCGCAAACTGGGGTGGCCAATCATGGACGTCAAGTGCCACCCTGGCCACCCCACTCGCTCTGCCCCTGATAAAGCTACACAGCAGGAAAGTACTGTTGTACAGGAGGAAGTACACACTTAATATACAAATGTAACTAGAGTTTAAACTTATCTTGGTCATGACTATAGGCCCTGTCACATRGCATTTTAGACAACTTATGAAAACTTGTGAAAATATTGTCCAACACTGAAGATGTTGCAAAGGATAAGATGGAATTTTAAAAAATCTACTGGAGACCTTTTGGATGCATACATACAGTACTGTAATGCCAATGGTTACAAATAAATAACCTATGTGTGTAATTTAGTCATAACAAAATCTTCATAAGTTGTTCATAACATTATAGTGAACAGGACCTTAAGATTAAAATCCCAGCAGAGTTTTTTCAGACAGCATTCAAAGCAATACCGTTGCTATTTTTGGATGCAGGGTTTATGTTACCACCATATTACCACCATGAGGTTACAGTTGGGTCATCAAGCAAAGACAGGTGGGAGAGAAGAATCAAAACTTTTGACAAACTTAGAAGTGCAGAACATAAAGAATGGAATGAATGATAAAAAACTAGCTTCATTAAACTGGCTTGGATTGTTAAAAACTGGCATTGGCCATTGAAAACTAGCTCTGTTTGTAGCTAGGCAGCACTCTATAGTGTAATTTAATGTAATTTGTGTAACACTGACATACATAAATGTTCTAAGATACAATAAAAAACTTAACCAGGCATGATGAGACAGAACAAGCTAACCACCTCTATGACAAACCATCCTATGGGCCAATTACAGAGAAATGATGTGGCAATCAGCAATTCTCTTCTGCTTAATAATAACATCTGCACTGCTGTGTAATATCTAACACTTCACACAAATCACACTTGTGGTTATTAAGACATTTCTGTTTAGTCTCGTCCTTCAGTGATAATTAAAATCTTTATTTCAGCTGGCTGTCGCCTGCAGAATGTATTAACGCCGTTACTCTGGGGAAAACGAGTTGGAAAAAAAAACGGAAAATTAAATGAACTTGATGTATTTTTATTGCCCACACAAATACTCCAAAAACTGTACTCCACTCATCGAAAGAGCAGACCAGCAGAGAGCTTGGATAACGAAGGGAGTCTCGAGCAAACATTTGCTTTTGTGACATTTTTCTCACATAGTCGTAGAAAAAGAACTCTCTCACACAAACAGGATGCAGTTAGAGCTGGAGCAAGCTGGGATGAGGCTGCCTCAAACAAACAAGACCTCGCAGAATTTTAACACCTAATGTCTCCTGGCCAAATGTGGTAGTATTAAACCGACTACAGAATAGCTGAAGATTTATATCATGCACCTTGACCAAAAACTGCAGTTTTTGATGGAAACATCAGACATTCCTCATGCACATGTGAACAGGGAGCTGTGTGCACAAAGTGAACACACACGTGGGCGACACAAATGCAACCGTCCAAACCGGAGCAGACGTGAGTCCCACCCCCACTCACGCAGAACGATGAGACCCACCTCGATGAGCGCCGGCCGCAGGTTGACGGTGCGCAGCCAGTCTCGCAAGCGTGGGTAGCTGTCCAGGGCCTCGGGCCTCTCCGTCCCGGGCACTTTCTGCTTGCACTGCAGCTGTTTACAGATGTATTTCATCAGCTTCACCTGCAGGGAGCAACAGAGAACAARGCGCAGAGGGGAGGGGAGGGTTAGAGTGTGCAGCAAGGGAAGGAGACGGTTTCCTCTAAAATGTTTTTTTTTTTTTGCCACACCAGTTTTGGCACTAGACTTGATTCTTTCTAAATAGCACAAAAAGTGTAGCTATTGGAAGCAGAAACAGCTGGAGCTCACTACAGTTTGTCGGTCAAATGACAAATACAGACTTCACCAGCGCAAGCAGATGCACACACATCTTTATGCTGATTAAGGGTGAGGACGATATTAGATTGTGAAGGATTAGATCGTTATGTGTTGCTAATCCCCCGCAGGTCTCTGTATCCTCCTGTACGTGTGAAGYGAGGAGGGAAAGGAGGGCGGGTCACTGAGAGTCATCTGCAGCCTGCAGGCATCCAGTGTGACATTTTAACACTTAAAAACAATTTMCAGCAAAAGAATGAAGAATATTTATAACCACCCGTTCCAGGATGTTTGGTCGGCACATAATTGAATTCCAACTGCAAGAAAGCGTGTGATGACCTGAAAAACCAGTCCTATCAAAGGAATGGAGCGAGCTAATCTTAGCTCATTACTGCTCCTGAACCTGTTCACATGAAAACACAAGTGGAAATGCAATGCCCGTTTATTGCAGGCTTTGTTTCCTGTACGTGCAGATTAAAATATTCTGCTGTAATTTTAAAAACATATACACATGTATATGATGAAAATTTATATTAGACTTAGTTAGGGTTGAGCAAAAATCACATTGTGCTATTAATTGTCAGAAAACTTGTCAACAGTTATTATCTGACACTTTGTAATTACTGTAATTACTGCCACGTAATGACATTTTTTATGTGTGCGACACACTCTCACTAACAAGTGAGGATGTATTGCGTTACTAAAGATGTGCTGCCTCTCCACATTATGGAAAAGGTGGGTTTCAATCCCCAGCTTATTATTTTAAGCTGTTAAAACAAAGAAGCTASGCTGACTGATGATTTGTAAGTAGACATTTAGAACACAGGGGATTTATTTTATTATTTATTGTCATCTATTAATCATCATATTAATTGTTATTGGCTAAATGCCACAATTAACTGTGAGAAATATTTTGCCAGTATCGCCCTAACCCTAGTCTCACTTAAGCTGAAAACTGTCTGCAGAAACTTGTTCCAGTGGAAAACAAAGTTACTGTGTATAAAACACGGCCTCGTCCTACTTCCCTCCATCATATAAGACATTTATTACAATAGTTTTGACTATTCTATAGTTTTACACTACATTTAATACATTAACTATGAAACACAGTGTAATTTTTTGAAACAAAAGCTGACAATATTTTAACAAGAAAGAATGGTTTGGTTGTATAGACTTGCAAATTAGTAAAACAAACAGCAAAAAAAAAGTTTATATATTGGCTTATTACCCACATCCTAATGCTGATACACACAAACTCCGTGTTTTTCACTGAACTCAGTGTACCTGCTGTGACATCACCAGTGTTTGTTTTGCGTGCCCTCTGCAGACAAGACATCTAATTAGATAAAAACTGATCTCATTGTCCCTGGGCCAGTCAGCTGATGAGAGCATCTGTGATGTTGGCAAAAAGCAACTCTTTTATACTAAAGTACACAGATGGCAGAAGTGGCACATGAAGAATGCATTGCGAGTACTGGACTTTCCCGTCAGCTGTGCTTCRGAGACATACTCTGTTTTTGCACCTTTTGTCCCAATCATGCCCATCTATAGTTTGATTAATTAATAAGTGAAGATCWAGAAATCCATCACAGTCTTTCCATCACATCTTCCACTTGGGACAGCATTCACAATGTGACCATGTTGTGATGGTTCAATGGAGCGGACAGGAAGATAAAGAACAAAAGACTGCCTTTTGGAGCAGTCCTGTCAGCATCACTCAGGGTGACACTKTAGTGATGCACAAAAACTGGCTCTCATAAACAAGTCAAGTTTACATCTGCTAATCACATTTAAAGCTAAAGTTTTGCCGTAATCCTCACTCAAGTCCCCGATGATGCTAAAGGTGTAATTTTGCTGCATTCAAAAGTTCGTATCTCATTTCCAAAGCCTTTAAAAATCTCATTTTAATGCTTTCATGTCAAGCGCAGTGGTCCGTCCTGTGAGTATTACAATGAACACCACGGTGTTGGTTTGCAGCGGCCCGCATTGTGCAGCTCACCATGACTGTATAGTGTGTCCTTATCTCGCCGTCTTATCTGAAAGAGTCCATTACAGCAGGCAGCACCTTTAGATGGGCCGCGCACAAGCAACAAGCTTCAAAAACCCCACTGCGTACCTTTTGAGCGCCGCCGCGACGGTGGCAGGGCGCGCGTCTTTTTCTGGCACATTCAACCGTCTCAATGACACCTCCACTTGTGAGCCAGAAAAGAAAACCTGCACAGCCACACTTCGCTCTGAAGATGCGGCCTTGGATTGCAAAAAAAAAAAAAGGCTGCAAATGAAAGCGTCTCGCGCTTGAAAAGACTTTCGAAAATGAGGATGGAGAGGAGGTAAATGCTCTGCGTGATGACCCTTACCTGGCTATTCAGCTCTGCAGCCATTCATCAATTACCAGTTGCACAAAGAGCATTTGAAAGTAATGCCAGCGAGTGTAAACTGATTTTAAATAAAGTGTTAATCTCTCTTAGCGAAAAAGGACAGTTTATTAGTTAACTGGTACAGATGAAATTAAATAAATACATCCTTTTATTGCTTTACGGTCTCATTAGCTTTTACTGATATTGATAATTGTCCAACTAAAAAAATGACCTTCTTTGTTGCTGCCATCTTGAATTGGTTCAGCTCTAAGTTAACTAAAGTATATTTATTAATTATATGCTGGATGTTGYGCAAACACACAAAGTTAAGCCAAAATGGCAAAATTAAAAAAAATAAATACATTTGTGTGCAATGTGCTAGCAATTACGTTAGGGAGCAGTCTCAGCGACTAGCATWCCAAATTTTAGGTAATTATCAATAAAATCAGCTGTGTTATTGGCCTTTTGGTGTAATTTTTTAAGGTTGGCTGGCTATGAGGGGCATCTTGAAKCAAGTTGACACCAAAAGTTATTCAGCTGTAGAGGTACAATCAATGATTACTTTCTGCAAGTGCTATTAAAATGCATTTACTGGTTAATGAAATTTCTTATTAACAGATAAATGAACACACAGACAAGGGCAAAAAACTAATAGTCTGCCTTTGACTTTTGGAGGTGGGCGATAAAATCAGATCCATCCAAWGTTGGAAGGGTCATAAACATATAAGCATATTTTGAACACTGAAAGGTAATAATAGACTGTGCAAAAACTGTCCATCTTACCCAGTTTTAAAATCTTATATCCAGCCAAAAAGCCTTCTTGATCTTGTTTTGAGACTGATTTACTAAACAAGAACTGATTGTGTAAGAATAATAATCTTGTTTTCAGAATGTACAAGATTATTTGTCTTGTTAGTCTGAAAAATTGACTCAAATTAAGTAAAAAAAATTCTGCCAATGGAGTAAGAATTTTTTACTTGGTAAGATTCTTGAAATAAGAAAAAAATGAGTCAAATCAACTATTACAAGAATCTTACCAAGTAAAACTTTCTTACTCCATTGGCAGAAAATTTTGACTTAATTTGAGTCAAATTTTCAGACTAACAAGACAAACAATCTTACACATTCTGAAAACAAGATTATAATTCTTACACAATCAGTTCTTGTTTAGTAAATCAGTCTCAAAACAAGATCAAAAATACTTTTTGGCTGATATAAGATTTTAAAACTTGGTTAGGTGGACACTTTTTGCAGTGTAGTTTGTGAGTTGAAAATCATTATAGCAGTAACTAAGAGTCATCCCTAACACAATATATATA